TGGGGTATATGGCTTTGGAGGTGATGGAAGTAGGGGACATCACAGTCCTCCATAGCATCGAGAAAATTGTAAGATGACGGAGATTGTGGTGGTGCATAGGGAAAGCTGGACTCATCGAAAGTAACATGTCGGGAGACAATAATTTTCTGTGTGGTTAGGTCCAAGCACCGATAGCCTCGTTGAGACTCGGGATAGCCAAGAAAAATGCCACGCGCAGAACGTGGGGCAAGTTTGTGGGGTGTAGTGGCGGATAGATTTGGGTAACAAAGGCAGCCAAGAACGCGGAGGTGGTTGTATGAAGGAGGGGTGATATATAAGGCTTCATGAGGTGTACGTTTTTGGAGGGTGGTGGTGGGGAGAAGGTTGAATAGGTGAGTGGCCATATGGAGGGCTTCAACCCAAAATTGAGGTGGGAGGTTTGCTTGGAAGAGTAGGGCACGGACAGTGTTGTTTAAGGTACGTATGGTGCGTTCTGCGCGCCCATTTTGTTGGCTAGTGTAGGGGCATGAAAACCGGAAAAGGATACCCAAGGACTCGAAGAAGGTGGCTAGGGGGTTATTTCTGTATTCTGTCCCATTATCACATTGAACTGCTTTGATAGTGGTGTGAAATTCATTTTTGACCATGGCATGAAATTTTACTAGATGAGAGTAGGCGTCAGATTTGTGCCGTAAAGGAAAAATCCATAAATAGTGCGAAAAATCATCTAGTAAAAGCATATAGAACTTAAAACCAGTAAAACTAGGAACAGGTGATTGCCATAAGTCTGTATGCATTAATTGAAAAGGATAAAGAGATACACGACTCGAGGACTGAAATGGAAGGCGAACATGTTTGCCTAACTGACATGCATGACATAAATGATCCAATTTGGATTTATTAAAACTATATAATGAAGAAGAGACGTCATGAAGAACTGCTGGGCTTGGGTGGCCAAGACGGCGGTGCCATGTGGACAGGTCGACTTTGGCAAGGTGAATGTGTGCTGGAGGATGGTCTTGAGAGAGTGGGTAGAGGTGTCCGTCACTACTGGATCGATGAATCACGGCTCCCGTCCGTTTGTCCTTCACAGAAAAACCGGATGAGTCAAATTCAACAAAACAGTTGTTATCACGAGTAAATTGACGGACAGAAATAAGGTTATGGATGATGTGTGGGGAGACAAGGACATTTTTCAGTGAAAGGGGAGGATTTGTGTTAAGGAGACCGTTACCAGAGGCCGTAGTGCACACTTTAGATCCATTACCTACAATAATATGAGAGGGTGAATAAATGTTTGAAGAAAATACATGAGATAAAGTACCTGGGTCAGCGGTGATGTGGTGGGAGGCTCCAGTGTCCATGAATCAGGTAGGGTGGGAGTTCAGGCTTAGGTTTTCAAGGGTGTGGGCAAGTGCGGTGGGTGAGTTGGGTGTGGATTGAGGGTACGGGTAGGGTTGGGTTGGGGCTGTGGGTTGCGGGTAGGGGTTAGGATTGTGAGTGGGGGGATGCGGGTATGGGGGTGGGTAGTAGGAGTGGGTTGGGGCAGGAGGGTAGTACGGGTCACTACGTCAAAAACAGAGGCTGACAACTGTTTATTTTAATAGTCTATAATTGATGTTTTCAGTAGTCTTCCGAGCAGCTATCTGATGGGATGTTAGACCTCGGTTTAGAACAATTGTGCAAATCAAAATCTGACAACGGTGTTTTGAAGCTTAACACAACTTTGAACATTTGTTGTCTGCTCGCGATTGAGTCTACGATTTTGGATATACTCAGACAATAGTTTTATTGTGTTGTATATAGAAGTTCAGACAACTACTTAAAAACAACTGTCTTAATTAGTTGTATATAGACTATTACGACAATGGTTTATTGTAGTTGAGATTGATGCGGTTACACTATGTTTTCCAGGTGTACTCTAATGTTCTATTAGACAGCTGCTCGGAAGACTACTATAAGTAATTCCATCAAACCTCTGCTACCTTCTGTTGTATGTACAACGTTGAGACTATTTCTTTGGTCTTACCTTAAACAACTTTTTTTTTGGTTGTATGCCGTCTATTAACACTCCAGTTTATGTTCGTTGTGCTTTAAACATTGACACTATACTTCCAAACAGTAGTTGAATCGGCTACCAGACAGCTGCTCGGAAGACCACTATAAGTATTTCCTTCAAACAACTATTACGTTGGGTTGTATGCATAATGTTCAGACTATTATTTTGGTCTTATCTTAAACAACTATTTGTTTTAGTTGTACAACATCTATAAACAATACTGTTTTGGATCATTGTCGTACCACCCATTCAAACAATATTTTGTGACAGTAGTCGAAATTCTTATCAGAAAGCTACTTGTAACACCACTGAAAACATTAGCATTAGAGAACTGTTCTTTTTTGTGGTATATCTAAAATTAAGAATACGATTATGTTTCATATTACACGATTGCAAGTACCAGATGTCTAGCAGGTATTATCTCTACTAGTTTATATAGTTGTCCGTAAAATTTTTGTAATATCAAATTAACAGTAGTAAGGCTGCTTGTCAGTCAAGCGTTTATTTGTGTTGCCTATCATAATCAGATGCTTCTGTTTTATGGCATTGTGTTGCAGATATTCAAACTATTGACATTTGGTGTTGTGCCTCAACCATTTGGAGTACTGAATTTGGTGGATAACCATGTTTTTTGCATTCTAATACAGTGGTCGTTCAATAATTCATACAACAGAACGACTGATCAAGAAAAGAAATATAAATTCCCAATACATGATTCAACAATCTAACACAATAAAACATACAACCAAAGTCCAGGGGTAGAACCATTCAAATGGCATTATGACTCATAAAATACTTCGCAAATTCAACCTTTGTTTGATTGATGTCATCCTCGGTGTATTCCAGATTTCCCCGACGCGCCCACTGAAAATCGTAGGAAAAAACCAAATATCTAATAAGCCAATCATAGAAGTGATGAAGTAAATATAGGATGCAACACATAAGAACTGATTTGTATGAAGGCATTATCCGTGATGACTAACACTAAAGAACTGGCCAATAATTAATACTCAAACCTTCACTAGCATTGAGTAGTACACATTATTAGTGAACTATAAGAGGCTCTACTTAATGTTAAAGTCTCTCCTGATTAAAAACACCAGAACTGTACACAAAATAAAAAANAAAAAACTCTGTACAGCGCTATCTTAAATTAGCTTCAAATTAAATCTGTGTAAAGAGCATGTATTAGAAATTGCATTTATCCAGAAATTCAAACTAAAAAAAACACACTCCTAAATGATACACTGATGCAAAGAAGCACTTAATAGAGAACACATAAAAGCGACATGCAATTCAAACTTTGCAATTCGGTAATGGTATGATAACATGCAATACAGTAAATATCCCCAGAATAAGAGAAAGACACAATAAGTGTGAACCATCCGAAACAAGAAAAACTACATTTAAGACAACAATATTACCTTTGAAGCAAATTAAACCTCCTTATCCTGACAGATCTCTTTCATGTATCGCATTACAAACAAGCCACAGTCTACACTCCCTTTTTGCATCGGGATGCCCTAAAAAACAAAAATATAAAGTACGGTTCTCATTCAACCTGCAATACATACCAAATAATAAGAATCATATAATACCGCCATGTTCTCCCAGGACACTTTCTTCTTCAACATAGGTGTGTTCATGGTATTCTTGTAAAAAACTATAGCACTATAAGGAAACCAAAAAAGATAAATAGAGAAATGTTAAAATCAAGAGTGATAGCAAATACCAAAGATTTTTGTTCATTGAGTCACTACTTACTTATCAACCACTTCAGTCCACTCCTGACTATATATACGCCGTTTAAGGGGGTCCATGTAGTACACTACCTCTTCATTAGGTTTGACAACAGTCAAAGCCCAATGATTCCTACAAATAAAAACATATATGAATTACGACATTCTCACGAACTTAAAGAAATTCGCATTTACATAAGTGTGTTAACAAAGCATTACAAATGCAAATTGAATACGAAGTTCACAAGGAAGAAACAATTCAGAACATCAGTTCTTGACATGAACAACTTAAACATACTTACACGTCATTGAACGGTATTAGAAAGTGTTGTCCATCACAGGCCCCCTTAAAGCGATCAGCAAGCTTGCGTGACCTCTGCCCTATGTTCCCACATGCAAGCGTCCCTACCATGCCGGGATCCACGAAAGAGATCATCTGAAGCATTTTGTTTTTTT